AAAAAAAAAAAAAAGAAAAGAAAAGAAAACATTTTGATATTACCCAGTAACATGAAAGAGGTATGTTATCCTCTGATCCAACAATTCCAGTCCTTGATACATCCCACAGAAAAACCTGTGCCATTATGTACCAAGATACAGGTACAATAACAACATTGTTTGCATTATCTCTAAATTACCAACAACCTAAGAAACCCTCAACAGTAGACTGAATAAACTGTGGTATACTTAACTTGTACAATGAAACAAACTATTAGAGCAATATGCAAAATGAAAAAATCTTTTAAAAATTTTTGAGGAAAGCAAATCACAATATAATAAGTATTCTATGAGACCTTTTATATAAAGATCACAAACATACACACCTATAAGATAGTGAAAGAGAGATGGAAACAGCTGATGAAACTATAATGAAAGCCAAGTAAGTTAGCTTACCATGAAAGTAAGTTACTGATTACCTTTGTTGGGGGACTGGGATGGGCACCCAGAAGGCTCTCAGGGATCTGGCAGTGCTCTGTTTACTGACTGCAGTGTTGTCTTTCTTGTAATAATTTGTTAAGCTGTACATTTAGGATTATGCATTATTTTTGTCTGTGTGCGATATTTCACAATAAAAAGAATTTTCAAAATAAGACTCTAGAAGAAATATATAAAAATTGCAAGACCTATATTAAAGTCGTGGAATTAGAGTAAATTTTTTCATGTTTTCTGTTTTCCTCACTTTCCTTATACATGTTTTTATTGGTTTTATTTCTTAATTTAAAAAAGGACATTTTTCTTCTTTAATTCACACTTACATGACATTTCTCTGCACATGTTCCACCTCATGACTTCAGTGCGCATTAGTACCTTCTTTCCAAATCATCCTCTATATCCTCCTGTTACATTTGGAATTATCTACCACTGTCTCCTGAAAGCTTCAGCTGTTTTCATGGCATCTGTCTCCCATCAATCCTTCTAAGCTGCTGCTTCCTAAATGTAGCCATTCTTCCTTTTCTCTCAGTGGGAGCACTCTTCAAAGGTCAGTGTACCTCCATTAAACACTTGCTTGAGAATCAACTGATAGAACTTACAGAACTTTTCTTTTTCTTTAGAACTTTTCATAAATACATAGATTTAGGCTCCATAGAGCTTCCATGTCAGAATCTTCACAGGTAGGACATGGCCATATTTCTTTTTAAAGAGTATCACGAGCAATTCCATTGTCAAGAAAAGGTAAAGAAGATTTTGAGAACACTTCTATTTTTCTATTTATTTATTTATTTATTTTCAGACAGAGCCTCAAGCTGTCACCCTGGTTAGAGTGTTGTGGCATTATAGTTCACAGAAACCTCCAACTCCCGGGCTTAAGTGATTCACCTGTCTCAGCCTCCCAAGTAGGTGGGACTATAAGCACCCACCACAATGCCTGGCCATTTTTTGGTTGCAGTTGTCATTGTTGTTTGGCAGGCCCAGGCTGGATTCGAACCCACCAGCTCTGGTCCATGTGGCTGGCGCCTTGGTTGCTGAAGCCACAGGCGCCAAGCCAAGAATACTTCTACTTTTCATTCAATATTATGGCTTCAATTTTCTTTAATGTAAGATTCCCACATCTACATTTCTAACCTGAATTTTCTTCTAAGACATATTCTTACAATCTGTTGTACATCTTCACTTGGAAATACCATCCTCTACTCACGGTTCATCACCTATTCTCCAAAACTGACCCTTTTCTTATCTTTTATGTTTTTTTTTGAGACAGAGCCTCAAGCT